ATTTATATGGAGAAGATTTTAAGGTGCATACTGATCACTAAAGCTTGAAATATTTATTTTTACAAAAGGAGCTCAACTTGAAATAAGGAAGATGGGTGGAGTATTTGAATGATTATAGATACAAAATCATTTACCAACCTAGAAAAGGAAATGTGGTTTCAAATGGTAGAAAATCAACTAGCACCTTAGCAAACTTAATGATAACGTAGTGGAAACTCTTAAAAGAATTCAAAGACTTAAATGTCAAATTTTTGTCACCTGAATTTGATATATTGGTGTTTAGCTTGATAGTCTAACCTACTATAAACATTAAAAAAAAATTTGCCTGGGTTAAGATATGTTTACCCTAGTAAAATCTTGGAAGTTAGGGTAATAAATCTTTAAAGAGATATTTTCTCTTTAATTTAAAAAATAAATATATTAAAATGACCAAATTATCCTTAAAGTGAAGAGAATTTGAGGTCATTTGGCAAGGCTCCTTTGGCTATAAATATGCCATCATTTGATGAAAAAGAAAAAGGGGAAAAAAGGGAGGAAAAAGGAGAAAAAGAGAAGAAGAACAAGCTTCAAGCCCCTCAACAATTGTCGAAGTTCCAAGCCCCAACTTAGGGAGATTTCAACCTCCTGCCAAGGGTAAGCTTAAAATCCATGTCAAGGAGGAAAAGTTTCAAGTGCAAGTCTTAAATCCCTTGAAGGACAAGAACAAGCTTAGGTCCTTATCTTTCTAAATTTAGCTATTAATCAAAGAATCATGCTGTTCTAGGACATGTTACTCTTCAAAGCTCAAATTTTGTGACTACACATCTTTGGTGACTCCACTAAGGACATCTTTACCTCTCATCTTTCAACTGAAGAAATTCCACCATATCCTTCCAAGCATGGCAGACTCAAAGCAAGTTGTAACTCCTCTTGTTACTTGAAAAGCTCAAATCTTTTCCAATCAATCCTCTTTGCTGACTTGTGTCAAAGCACACATAACAAAATCAAGGTTGGTGTCCCCCTTGAGGCAATTCATTAGAAGAAGCCATAAAGAGACTACAATGAAAAAATGATCATTAGCCATCCAGTCACATTTCCAACTTGTAAAAGATGTGGAGTACTTCTCCTCAAAATCTAATGAAGGTGAAGAAATCAGTCTTAAGCCCAATCATGTGCCTACTTCAAAGTTAAGGTGGGCTGACTATCCTTCATCATCATCTAAGTCCCTTTTACTTGCCTTGGTTACTTAAGTGACACCTAGTGACCCGAACACTTTCCTCAAGGCTGTGGAAAGCTTAAGGAAAGTCGTGGCTGAAAAGGATGCCCAAATCAAGGAACTCCAAGAACTCTTGGCAACTCAACACTTGTCAAACCAAAATAAGCAAGAAACATCAAGCTTAGCCATTGAAAAAACCCTTAAAAACATGGAAGACCTGTTGAAGACTTCAGATCGGGGTAAGCAAGTTGCCATGAAGGAGCAACAAAAGTAAGAGAAACTAGATTGAACAGTTCTCCAGAATGCTTTTTGTGACACTACTCCTATTATTGTGGCATTTCTTATGTTTCCACAGCTTGAACTTTTGGTTGATGATGCCATTCGAGCTTGGCAAGGTGAGACCTCACAATCCTCACTTGTGTATGCCAAACCCTATACTCGCAGGATTGCTAATCTAAGCCTTCCAGATGGCTATCAGCCACCAAAATTCCAAAAGTTCAATGGGAAGGGCAACCGAAGACAACACATCACCCATTTTGTTGAAACATGCAACAATGCTAGCACCTATGAGGACCTCATGGTGAAACAATTTGTTCGGTCCTTGGAGGATGTAGCCTTTGAATGTTACACTAACCTTCCTATTAGGTCAATAAATAGTTGGAACTAACTACAATAGGAGTTCTTGACACATTTTTATAGTACCAAGCATACTATTAGCCTACTTGAGCTTGTTAACACCAAGCAAAAAAAAGATGAGTATGTGACACACTTCATTGAAAGATGGAAGAATCTCGTATTAACTTGTTGAGAAAAGATTAGTGAGACTTCTTCTATTGATATGTGTGTGCAAGGTATGCATTGGGGACTACTGTATAACCTTCAAGCTAACATGCCACATACTTTTGAAGAATTGGCCACTCATGCCCATGACTTGGAAATTCAAATTGCTAGGTATGGTAGCTTTCTTCCAACAGACATTCGTGATAAAAAGAGTCTCGAAAGGATGTGAAAAAGGAGGTGGAGCCTTCAAAAGTAGAAGAAACTATGGATGTCATAACAATGCTTGTGAAGATCTCACAACAAAAGCCAAAGCCAAATCCTAGACAAGATGTCAAGATTGTTGAGGATCAGGGCCAAAGGAAGAAGTCTACATTGAAAGAGTTTCAACGAAAGGAGTACCCATTTGCAAACTTTGAAGTGCCTGCTATTTTTGAGCAATTGTTGGCACTTAGCCTAATTGAACTTCTAGCTCTTAGGTGCCAAGAGTAAGTTATGCAAGTGAATGATCCAAAATACTGTAAGTATCACTGAATTGTGAGTCATCCAATTGGTAAGTGTTTTGTGTTGAAAGATTTGATAGTTCATCTCGAGAAAGAAGGCAAAATACAACTAGAAAGTGAAGACAATTCTGCTGCCACCAATGTTGCCATGGTCGCCTTTGGATCCTTCAGTCCAGTTCCACTCCTGCTTGTGCAATCAACCCCGTTGATGGTTCAGCCTAAGGAGTTTAGTTCTCACCTGCCAAGGGGGCAATCTAAGTCAAATTTCAAACAGATGATGAAGAGAAGATAGCCTATGCTTATCTTGGCATGCCTACTTTCGGAGGTCCAGGCTCTCTTTCCTTATATGATATCATAACGGTGAATCTTGAAGATTGGGAATCATCATCTAAGTTAAAAGATGAGGTTGGTGATGGTTGGTCAACCTTTATCAATAAGAGTAAAAAACATCATAATCTAGTCTCAGGTGGAATGCCACTCGAAAATTCTTATAAGGTCATGTATGGCATCTATCAAGAGATAAAGCTAACAAGATGGTGTTCAAACTTTGAGTTTCTTGCCCTTGACAATGATGATGACGATGGGTGGATTTCAGTTTAATCACGAAGAAGGAGCCATCGTTCAAGACCCACACTGCTAGCCATCTAACAAAATCATTCATTGCTTCCAACTTTGCTAGCTCCACCAAAAAATCAAGAACGATGTTCGGTAATGAAAAGGAGGTCTGACTTGCAAACAAGATGTCGGCAACTTCCTAAGAAAAGAAAGTCACTATTTGAGGAAGATGTAAACTCAAAAGAAAGAGCTACAGTTACTCTTTACGAATATTTTCCAAAGGGATCTTTTTCTAATGAGGTAGTATTATTAATGTCACAAGTTTTAAGACAAAAAACAAACCACCACATAAAGAAGAAGTTGAGGGCTTTAAGCGCCCATCAAATAATCCAGAATCTGATGGAAGCATGGAGAAATTGTGATGGGAGTTAAGATGACCCCACATGTACCACATCAAGAGATCCATTACACATTCCAAGAGGTCCAGTCACGAGAGCTAAAGCTAGGAAGATGCGAGAAGCTGTGAATGACCTTATTAAGCGGATCTGGGTTGATAACAACATGCAACAAATCGAAGCTTGGATGATTATTAGGGCATGGTAAATATCATTCAGATTCAAGAGAAGCTTAATTGAGGTCATTTATGCTAAATTACATAGTTTGCGTCAAAATCCTGCAATTCTGTCGCAATTTATAACAAACTAATATTTCATGTTACTTTAGGTTACTTTCAGTGATTTTCACGTTTTTTGTATTATTTTGGGCTAAACATTCATTTATTTGAGGCCCAATTCGTGGTTATTAGGATTAGGGTTTAGGGTGTTAGTTTCCTATTCTGATTAGAATTACTTTTCCCTATTTAAAGGGCTTGTAACCCTAATTAAGGGAAGCTATTGAATATGAGTTTTTGAGAGACTTTTCTCTTTGGTTCGTTTCAGAATTTTACAGAACTTATCAAGATTATTCTTGTGGCATTCTAACCTGACTTATCATTCTCGTTCTTAATCGTTCGAGGGTGTGGTGTCAACCAACTTTATACCTCTGGTTCTTGTTGCGTCATAGACAATGGGTCAAGGTTTTTTTACCTTTGGTTTTTGTTGCGACATAAACAATAGGTCAAGGTTCTATTATAAACCTAATTTAGCTTTCCTGGAGTTTAGAAATCCCTTGTCCTGTTGTGGGTCTCATTATTCTCTTTGGGGTTCTCATCATCTTGGTATCAGAGCATCAGATCCTAAATCAAGTTTGCGTATCTTTAATTTTCAGTTTTTATCTTCAAAAAACATAACAAAAAAAAAAATTCAGTGTCATTCTTCTTTTTCTTATTTTACTCTTCTGAATCTATGTTGCTGGTTCAAAAAAGAGAGAGAGAGAGAGAGAGAGAGAGAGAGCACGAAAATTAAAAAAAAAAAAAGAGAACAAAAAAAGAAAGAAGTTGTACAAAAAAAAAAGGGGAAGAGGATTGCCAAAGAAAAAAAAGATGC